TTTCATTATCATGAGAGGTAAATCCGTCCCTTCCGATCTTTTTTAAGGTACTTAGCTTTGGCGAACCCGAACCGAACCCAAGGTCAAAAGTCAAAAGTGGTTCCTAAGGCTATTTTGGTAAATCCGGTATATAACACAAGCACAACGCTACTTGCACGCGCAACGAAGCTGTGACCACCGTCACGTCTTAATCACCGTTTGATTTTTAATCAATAGGAATGTCATCGATGGGCCCACCTGAGAGGACCTGAAAGAAGCTTAACTAACCACGTGTTGTGTTACCCATTCTCTTGCTACTGTCATTTCTTGTACCTGTTGTGACTTGTGAGGTTAGCTTGACCCAGATACCAAAACCACACGATGGCAGGTCCCCTACCTCAGAATACAAACATCTCATCATTAAGTCCTCTAACTTCTACCTCTTTTTTATTTTTGCTTTCTCCCAAGCGTTGGACCATAAAGGAATTAATTTGGGATTGGGTTTAATTTTAACTGAGATTGAGCTTGAATTCTAGGTCATTCAACTTTAGAAAGGTTGGACTTTTCAGCTTATGAAATATTTGAGTTAGGCATAAATGATCATGTTTACATTTGCTCATTATCATGTTTACATTATATTATCTTTTTAAATTTCAAATTAATAGATCAATAAAACTTATACAGAATTATATAACTTGTTATTTTTACCTAAAATTAGTGAAACCTCTTTTTCCTTCAAGAATTAAGGAAGAATTTATTAAAAATTATATAATCCTCTACAAATAAAAATTATCATATTATATTTAAAATATATAATAAGTTCAGGAAGACAGACATCAAAATAAGCAAAATCAATATAAATGAAGTGAGCCATAAAAGCAAGGTGGTTAACACACATGTTATCCTCTCTAAAAATATGTTACAGATGACTATAAAGAATTTTCGTCCATATTTTTCTGTAAAAATTTAAAAATCCTTTCTTATTGAGTTCCAATATTAACTTGATAAGGCAAACCTGCAAAGACTTGTAATTAATTTTTTTTTATAATTTTCCTCCTTTCTCAAGAGGCTTAAACACCTAAAAATGGGCACATACATTCTTTTTTATTTTATTTTTTAATTTTGTTTACCAAGTCAGCAACCTTAATTTGACATTAAAAAATGGTTTAAGTTTCCAAATTCACTTTTCCTTGCTTAAATGTTCAGCCATGCCAAATTCACCTTACTAACTCTACTCGAGTGAGAACGTGTACCGATTCCTTAAGTCCTTAATTCCATCCAATTAGGCTTAAGAGCTAAACCTGAATAGTTTTGGGACTTTAAGTAAACCCAAAAATTCACCAAGGGTTAAAATAGAAAAACAATGAAAGTTAGTCATCTTCTCGTTATAAAATCCCTTCCAGCATCAGCTCCTCCTCCTCCTCCTTCACTCCCTCAGTTTTCACTCCATCTTCACTTCTGGCAACTGCTATGAAATTCTCTTGAAATCGAAGCAAAGAAAGAAATATTTTCCTCGAAATCTGTTTGTTTTGAGGGAAAATGGTTTCACTCGAAGATTCTCACTCTAATTCGAACCGGTTTCCGTTGTCTCGAAACTTCTACGGTCTATCCTCGGCTTCGACCACCAAAATTCACCGTCACGTCGGCCGTTCTATGCGTACCATACGCTCCAATCTCTACCAAAGCGATAACAGCTGTTCCTTCACTAGCTCCGTCCCCGAAAGTTCTGGATTCATTTCGGAGAATCTGACGGAATCTGTCATCGATATGCGACTCGGCGAACTCGCCGCCAAAACCAACAGCAGATCGCTCAAGTCCGAGTCGGAAAATGAGGACTTATTGGATATTTCGCAGGCCTTCAGCGATTACTCGGCTTGTAGCAGCGATATCTCCGGAGAGCTGCAGAGGTTAGCGAGCTTACCATCGCCTGAAAACGCCTTGAGAAATGGAGTGGAGCCGGAGTCGGAACCTGAGCCGTGTCACGGCTTTTTACAAAGAGACAGTTTCTCAACCGAAATTATGGAGAGTATTTCTCCTGAGGATCTCCAACCGACGGTCAAGATCTGCATAGACGGCCTGCGATCTCCGTCCATTGCGGTGAAGCGATCGGCTGCGGCGAAGTTGAGGTTATTAGCCAAAAACCGGTCAGATAATCGCGCGTTGATAGGAGAATCCGGTGCAATCCCCGCTCTAGTTCCGCTTCTGCGAAACAGTGATCCTTGGACTCAGGAGCACGCCGTCACAGCGCTGCTTAATCTCTCCCTATATGAAGGGAACAAAACCTTGATCACAAATGCTGGAGCTATAAAGTTATTTGTGTATGTTTTGAAGACGGGAACCGAGACGTCCAAGCAAAATGCGGCCTGTGCGCTTTTGAGTTTAGCGTTGATTGAAGAGAACAAGAGCTCAATTGGAGCATGCGGGGCAATCCCTCCCCTGGTGTCCCTTCTAATGAACGGGTCGAACAGGGGAAAGAAAGATGCACTGACGACGCTGTACAAATTGTGTTCCTTGAAGCAGAATAAGGAGAGGGCTGTGAGCGCCGGGGCGGTGAGGCCGCTAGTGGGACTGGTGGCGGAGCAGGGAACTGGGATGGCTGAGAAGGCGATGGTGGTTCTCAGCAGCCTGGCGGCAATCGAAGAGGGGAGGCAGGCTATCGTAGAGGAAGGTGGAATTGCTGCTCTGGTAGAGGCAATTGAAGATGGTTCTGTGAAGGGGAAGGAATTTGCAGTATTGACGCTGTTGCAGCTGTGTGCGGATAGCGTGAGGAATCGTGGATTGCTTGTCAGGGAAGGTGGGATCCCTCCCCTCGTTGCTCTTTCTCAGACTGGCAGCATCAGGGCGAAGCATAAGGTAATTTAGTTTACTTTGATTCAATGGTACAATTCATGAAGTCGGTCAGTGATTAAAGATGGATGCCTTGATTTCTTGGTAGTGTTTAATTACTTTGATTTCTAACTCTGTTTAGGTTGAATGCCTAAGAATTGCTTGATACTCATTACGTGATATGTGTATTATGTTTTTGTATACAGTTAATTGAATTGTGTATTTATTTATTTATTTCCTAATGTTGGCAATTTGGCATTGCTTGTTCATGATGTTGTGCTTTTTAATACTTTGGACATAGGACTTGAGCCTATGTGGTTCATTTTGCTTGGTTTGAAAATTTGGAGACAGTAAAGTCTTCAACTTTTTCTTTACTCCAGTTGTATGCTATATAAACTTGAATGTAATTAATAGTCAGAGAAGATGCTGGGTTTTGTTTACATCAACCGTTGTACCCATGGGCATATACTTCTCAGATGTTAAGCAATCATGTTATTTAAACCAGCCATCTTATTTCTTGTGCCGAAATTTAATCGGTTGTGTTTATTTTACAGGCGGAAACACTTCTTGGGTATCTGAGAGAACCAAGACAACAGGCCTCTTCATCCAGTCCTTGAGGGATGTAGTCCAATTACCGAGGGAGGTAATGATATTAGGTTGTTGGTTGTTTTATGTATATAGAGAGTGTTTTTTTGGTGGTTTGTACAGTGTGGTTGATAAATTTGAGAATGGTTGATAAATTTGAGAAGAGTGATTGTAGAAGTAAAAATTAAAAAGGAAATTAGGGGAAGGATAGTGTGTGAGACACTGAGATTATAGAGGTATCATTTTGATTAGGTCTTGGGGGGATCTTCTGTTCCTTCTTTTTGACTAGTGTTTCTCCGGGGTGGAATATGTTTGGCTTGTGGGATTTTGGTCGATGAGATTTGGGTTATTTCCTTGTGTTTTGTTTGGGTGACCCAAATTCATATAGGTCTAATGACTACTGATTGTCTGGTTTTTTAATCAGTGATTATGAAGAGCATGCAGATATATGCTTCTAGTTCTGGCATTTTGTTTTCATGTAAATTCTCTTTGTCTGGGTTGCATCTTGTAGCTTAACTACTTGAGCATTATATCTGGGAAAGGATAATATGAAAGTTTGATTCATATTCCGCTTCTCTGAATTTCTGTCTTGGCTCTTGAGGATGGTCTAGATCCTTCAATGCAAAGAGTAAACTTCTGGTTCTGGATATGACCTTAACCATTTTATCTTAATCCTACTGATTAACATGGTTTTCTCCCCATTCCCTTGTTCTTTAAGCTACCGGATTACTTTCAGCGCCAGTGCTGGGGAATGAATATGGCAGTAGTAAAAGTTCTACGTGGATGGCTATTTTTGCGCTGGCAATGGTAGGGGCTCCAGATCTGCTTATATTTTGTGTAAAGTAGCTCATCTACTAGGCGCGGCCATCTCCTTCTATTTGTCCATATACCATATGTTTAGCAATTGCAATTCCAACCAACCAAATCAACCCTACCATAGATATGTTTATTTGTTCAAATGGGTATCAATCATATCTTTCTTATTCTTTGCTTGTCGTTTCTAATCATGCATTAGCTGGCATAGTAGGTCTCTTTTTGTCCTTGATGCGTAAAGGCAGAAACTGTTGTGGTTTCATGGTCAATCTTTACCTTCGGATTAGCGTGCCCACCCTGAGTGTCGGCGGTAACCCCCGCCTCTTGAAAGTTAAATAGGGCGGAATTGATAACTATGCAATAAAGGTCATTACCAGATGTGTAAACCACAAATCAAAGGGTTGGCATGGAAAAAAAAAATCTTATTCCAAATGCAAATTCCTTAGAAATCTTTTGTAAAACGTATTGGGTTGGCGATTGCATTTTAACAGTATTTTAGAAAAAAAATTTAGGCGGTTGGTAAATCTTTTTAGGTACTGCTGTGTTGGAAAGTTATAAGAAAGCTACAATAGTGTTATGCATAAAATTACCCATTTATCAAATACATTATTACAATGATCTTAGAATAATCCTTTCTAATTTTCTTCACCTTAGCTCCCTTCTCCTTGGTCCACCCAATCACATCCCTTCCGATTTTTTTCATTCTTGGTTGTCTTCTCCGGCGATAGCAGCAACAACGCTTGTTATGTTCTCTATCAGCAGTAATATCAACCCTGCCTCTAGTCCCCTTCTCTTCCAGCAACCCTGCAGCAACGATGGTTCTCTCCTCGACTGATGGTGGCTTTTCTTTTCTCTCAGGACGTACTAAGTAGCTCGGTATTGGACTTGGCATTCTTTTTCTTTTGATTTGGCACTAGTTTTCTTGGGGAATACCACTGATTTGCTTTTGATTTGGATCAACCATATAATTTTTTTGGCTGGCAAATTGGATCACCAATAATAAGCTTTAAAGTTCACTTGAATGTTGAGTTTCTCGGGTAAGAATCATGATTTTATTTAAGATTTTATTAATTTCACTTAATTTCAAAGCAACTTTAAATAGAATGGTTTGCATAATCTGTAATAACACAAACTAGCATAATTTGAATGAGATTTGGAGGTGTTAACTAGCATGTGTCTATGGGGCTGGCATTGATAGTGTAGAAGATGAGTATGAACTGAATTAATCACTGCACCCTTCAAATTACAGTTATTAAATATTAAATTGGAGCACAATAGACTCAAAACACTTTTTCAAACGCAAATACCCAAATGTTAAAATAACTTAACAACTGCCACAGCAAAACAACAAAACAACAAAACAATGTTCAGCACGGTTAGAGCCATAATTATAGGCCACAGCACATCAAAGCAATTCCAAAGACCTTTAGGCAGACTGAGTTTCGCCCTTGGACTTGAACTCGGAATCGGACTCGGACTCGGACTTGCCCCCAAATAGTCTAGGCTTATAACCGTTCTCCA